TGGCCCTGCAACTTGCGACTTGCAACTGGGAACTTAATTTCGAGGTGCCGATGCGATTCCATAAGATTCCAGCTGCCCTTGATGAGGTGCCGCAGAAATGGCCCGAGGAAAGGTTAAGAAAAGGCTACGCGGAAGCTGTCTTAAAAATATAAAAAATATACAACCAAGAAACAAAACCTGAAGAAGCAACCAAAACTGAAAAAGCACAAAACTTTCTACCTTTACTTCTTGCAAGGCCCTCGAGGAATTTCGAACTGGTTTTTGGCTCGTTGATCCTTTTGCTTGTTTTTTTTTTTTCGAACCTTTTTTTTCGGGGGGCGCAAATGAAATGCAAACGATGTACGGGGGCTTATCGGTAATCTATTGACTGAAAATTTGCAACAGATAAGAGGGGAAGGGAGGGGCACTATTAAGCCATAAAACGCATGCAAATGAAGGCGTTGAAATGCGCATAAGGCCAAGAGGAGTTGTTTCGGGGCTGGTCACTTCACTTAGCCCGAAAGTTAAAGGGCGCAAAAACTAACGCGTTTCGGAAAAGATAAAACCGGACAGTGGCGGGTAGTTTGCGAAGGGGGAGGGGGAGGGGGTTTGGTCGGTGGCAGCTGTCTGCTTTTGCGGGGGTAAATTCAACTTCAACTTCAACGAGGCCAACGGCTGACTGGCAATTAATTATGCCCAAAGTCGCTCATTCTCACTCGCTGGATCTGCCCCCTCCCACTTCCCCCTCCCCTTCCCCCACAAACTACTCGACCCCTCCCCTTCTGGTAGCGGGCATATGTTTATTTACTTAATTTACTTAATGACACACATCTAGAGAGGAGCACGAGTCACACACAAACACACGGAGAAAATGAGTTGCCAAAATTGGTTACTAAAAATGTAGCTCAAGATGAAAACTCAGCTCTATTGAGTAAAAATATTATTATTTACCATAAAAAAATGTTTGTATAAATACTAAATTTAGTAAACAAGTATGACACTATTCACTGAAATTTTTTTAAATTATATATTATCCTAGAAAACCTTACAAGAAGAATTGTTCTTTAATAAAATGATTCAAAAACTATTACAAATCTTGTAGGTAGACCTTTTCTCGCCGTGCATGCACTCACAATGTTTTTCTGGTGAGGTCATCCAGGCAAAGAGGAGCAGCCCATGTTTGTCTAATAAATAACATTATTAATTACCAGTGCAATTAAGCATAAGTACGAGTGGGGCACCCTCGGCAGCATAGATACAAATTCAAGCCCCGACGCAGACATATAGACGGACATATAGACAGACAGAGGAAATAACAGACCGACTGCACTTGATGACCCAAATTCGAGTTCATTGAGTGATATATGAATGCATTAATCTTAGTTTATGTTTATTAGTTTGTTTATCAAATTTTATGCAAGCTGAAATACCGAAAGCTGTGGCTAAAAAACCGAAAACTGATCTCGCCAAGAAATGCATAAAAGATCTGAGCTGTGATCTCTCAACTGAGAATTTATGATCGACATAATACGATTTTATGTTGCTTTAATGGGATCGGACGATATTTATGGTCGTGGGCAAATTTTTTTATGAAATGGAAAAAACCGTTTTTTAGAAACTTTAAACTTTGGTGGGTTTGTTTTAATGTATTCCTTATAACTTGAGCAGACTTCTGGCCATTAATCTTGGGCCGCTTGTTATTCGCTTAAATATGGCAACTGTCACGAGCAGAGCAAATCGGGCAAATACTAACGAGAAAATGCTGCAAATTACAGAGCAGAGCCGGCAGAGAGTTTTCCCCCGATCCCGCAGGAGGGAGCCTTCTAGTCGGTCTAGCCGTGTCACAACGTTTAATCTTTATTAATTACAGTGAAATAATAAGTAGATCCCTCCGACGTGCACCCTTCCGCTCTCCGCTTCCCCCGCCACTTTCCTCCGCTTCCCCGCGTGTCTACTTCTCTATTTCTCTCCTTTCTCTGACAATGTCAGACGCACCACCGACTGATTAATGCCGGGGCTAAAAGAGCCAAACAAGCAAACATGCCACAAGCAGCCGAACGGGAAACTTTCGGTCTGGCTTAGGAATTTTAGTTAAGCACTGAAAAAAAATATATCGACATTTTCTTAGAACAAAAATAAAAAGTGAAAAGGACACTTCAGAAATTAATAGGTTCCTTTTATTCTACGTTCAAGAAAATAAAAAATATCTTCACATAAAAAGTATTTTTAAATTACCTTAAGATCAAGAAATATTTAAATATTTATAAAAAAGGAACCACCTTCTGACGAATAAATATTTCTTACATTATCAACTTTTTTCTTAAACTGCAAATATATTAGGAAAATCAAAAACTATATACACATATTTTTTTAAGTGCCCCGCGCTGAGGTTTCCAATGTTTTGTAGCGTTCTAGTGGGACGACATTCATCATGTTGGCATTTCTCCGCATGGAGAGCAACTCCCCAATTTGTTTGGTGCCAAAAACGCCCAGCGGGTGAGAAAAAGCGGCCGAAAGCCCAGCGAAATGCGGAGAAAGGCAATTCGAGTGTGGGGCCAAAAAGAAAATTAGATAGCAGCATGTGCAGAGCGTCCATTTGATCCTTTTTAGAGGTCGCAAAAGCAGAGACTACAAAACCGCGCCTCGCCTAATTACGCATCTAATCAGAGGAGGTGAACCCGAAAATAAACCAAATTCCGGCAAAGGAAACATCTGCCTGAGTGAAAACTTGCGGCCTGTCAATCAACCGAAAGCTGTTCAAATATTTAAACAAAACTCAGCCTCTCGTTGCATATTTGCACTTCAACTTAGCTCAAACTGCGCATGCTAAATGCAAATGCAACAAATTCAAATAGATTCCGCGGGGACAGGACAATTAAATATGCGCATAACTGTTGATAATCATCGAATCAATATGCTGACAATTTTCTCACGCATTCGCAAGACTCGAAAGATACGCACAGAGATATATATTCAAATGAGTTGCATCCCAAATACAGACAAGGATTCAGGACAAGGGGTTCCTCATCATTTGGATGATGATGAAGATGATGATGATGATGCTGACATCAGCTCGAGCGGCTGAAGTCAATGAGGAGCGGAGGGTTTTTGGAAGAAAAAACGATTTGTTCTGCTCGAACCCTTCGTTGGTCGTCATAAAAAAAGGATTTGTAATTTGAATGTTAAATAGCAGCAGCCGCAGCTCTCATTCCAATCCCTCCCTATACCTCTAAATTGTATTTACTGCTGAATTAATTCTTACTCTTTTCTTCAGAAGCGAAAGGACTTGCCCGGAGTTTGCTCAGGGTTTCCTTTCATTTCCATTCAATTCGATTCGCCGCGCCGCCCTTTCAAGTCCCCGAGAAAAATCTATAAAAAAAAAGTCTATTAAGAAAACCGATTTTTTTATATTCCTCTGATTTCTTCTCCAAAGTTTAGCTGGCTGCTTAATGGCAATTGACAGGCGCAGTCATATGTAAATCTTAGGGCGTGGCGGTATCGCAGTTCAACCAGCTGCCGTTGGTCTCCGATTTCAGAATCGGTTGAGGAGCCAAGGGAGAGATTAAATAGGACGAGGGCAAAACATATTTTTCACGGTTTTCTAACGGTTTTTGACCTAAAAAACAAACATGGGAAAATCTTTATGGAAATTCGGAGCAAAACAAGCAAAATAAATAACCCAAAAATGGATAAATACATTTGAATAACTTGGGACACTTTAAAGTCTTTGGGGTTGGGAAAAATATTAAACAAAGGCAAACAATTATTTGTGTATTCAAATTTTATTGCATTTGCCAATAATTCTTTCAATAAGATACGAAAAGATTTTAAAAAGAAATGGCAATAAAAACACCACAAAGAAAACCTGTCATCGAAATTCAATTTGAAATTCACTAAATCAAGCCGTAATCCTTTTGCAGGATTTATTGCAACTTTTCTGTTTGCTTTCCTTGAACAGAATGGACAGCTAGGCAGCCCCTCCTCGAATCGCTCAGAAAACGTTGATTGCATTTTGAAAGGGGGTTAAACTGCTGAATTGCAGCAATAATATTGCAACCGACATCGATATGTGCCATTTGATTTGCATAATTCAGCACACAAACAGCAGAGGAAGACCCAACCCTAATGCGAAAATAAAAATGAACTAGCAGAATATTGACAGGACCTGGGGATTGTGAAAGGAGAAAAGGCGAAAAGGGAAAGGGAATTGGAATTGGAAGTGATATGGAGAAAGAGACACAGAGCCGCTTAAGCTGCAAAACAGCCGCGCCCCTTTCGGCTGTCTGTTTGTGTTTTTGCAAATTCATCGATAATTGGCAATTTGAAATGGCAACAACAGAAGACAGGGGTTGCTTTCGACTTTCGACACACGAGAGTTGCGAGCCCAACCCATGTTGACTTTGGCACTCTTGAAGAGAACCCCGAATTCAGGACCCTAAAACCCCGTCTCGTGTCAAGGGCGCATTGCAAAATTGCCAAAAAAAAAAAACAATACGAAAACAAAGAGAACCAATAACAATAACAAATGAGAAACGGGGAAACAAGACTTCGCACAATAGATAATGACTTAATGACACTTTAATTGTAAACAAGTTAATTCGGGCCATTGATGGCCAGTCACAACCAATTATCGCATCGATTCGAGCCAAAAACGGTGGCAGCAATTAGTGTCAGATATTAAAATTGGCAAAACAAAGCTGAATTATAATTATCGTCGCAATGGAAACCAGATTGTTGCCTCATAAATTCAAGACAAACTCCTCTTTTGTCGAGAGATGAGATGTGAAATTAATGGGCCATGTCTGTCGGGCAAATGTTTTCGATTTGTTCGAAAAATTTCCAAGTGGTTGGAGCCCGATAAAAATTATTTGTTTCGTTTGATAGATGTGTCCATTCACACTAGATGTATCTCGTTAAAGAGTAGAAATTAAGTTTTACCCCCCAACCCACAACGAAAGAGAAAAAACATTGTATTCAGAAATTCCTAACAAATGTCTTCTCCCCTTTTCTTCTATTTACAGGGGGAAAATCACAACGACTTCTGGGGCCCCAAAAGGTAAGCAAACAACAACGAACAGAGAAACTTGGCCAAAAAAGGCCAGGCAGAAACTTACGAAACAAAACAAACATATTGCAACTTTTACTTTGGATCTGAGGGCTCAGTCTTTTGGGCCCCCGAGGTCGGTTCGCTTTCAAGTTTCGTTTTTTGACAGCTGCTGTCAAATGCTGAAAGGCAGCCCCCAGCTCCCTCCCTCCCATTCCGAGCAGAAATCTAAAACAAGTCACACACGAAAAGAGCCAAAGTCGAAGTTGGAGCTGGAGCTGGAGCTGAAGTAGGAGTCTCGCAGTTGAATCAGAACCAGGCTGCAAGTCTCGGTCTTTGAGTCTCTGGGCGCAAAGCATATCGCCAAAACATCTTTATAGCCATACACATATGGGCAGGAACAGCAGGGCTTAACCAAATAGGGATTTCCAATTTTTAACTAAAAATTCTCTTCAAAAAATACAATTATTTTAGAAAATATTTAAACAGTAAAAATGTTTATATATAACAAGAAATATCAAATATAGTTTAATTAAGTAAACGACTATGGTATAGAACTACTTTTTTTTCTCAAAAACATTTTTTTATGCATGCAAATTTCTCAAATATTTTATAAGTACACATTTTAATGACTTTCCATCATGCATTGGAATTATCCCAGCTACAATTTAACCCCCGCTGTACATAAGCACACCTTGTGGCCCTGTTTTGTTCCTAAACCTTCTCTAAGCAAGTTCTCAAAACACAAAGAGAGAGGCAAAGAAAAAACAATGAAAACATTTTTATAGTTTTCATGCACGAAGTCCACGAAATGAAAAATTCTACAATTTAAACTGACATTTAAATTGATAGTTCAAGAGATGCACACGACAGATACGAAACAGGGAGAGCAGCCGAGGCAGCCCGGCACATTCCCTCGGATACAAACGAGTCCACGAGTATAAGTATCTGTATCTGCGTCCCTGCAGTGAATACATGATGGGAATGCATATGCCTGATGCATAGTTTTTGCGGCCTCAACTGCTGATGATGTGGAGCTGAGGAGCGAACGGCCAACTGATGCTGATAACAAAAAGGCATACACACAAAACGCAAAACAAAAACAATTGCCAAGCCAAGAATTCTAGAAAATATTATTATTATGATTAACCGCATACGAATTTTGAGCTGTGGTCTAGCCTGCATGGGATTGATGGGAAACTTTTTGAGCCACAACGAAAGGTTAAGACGAAGTCCGGAATTTGAAACATTGAACCACAAACAATAATTTGAAATCAGTAATGTTAAAATCATACAAAACGCAGATTTGATAAGCCAAAAGAATCCAACAACCCTATGATAATAGTAATAGCTTAAACAATTAAATCCCAAGACTTATTAGAACCAAGCGGAACATATCATAGCAAACCAAGAATGCATGAACATTTTTAACAAGTTCAACAACAATGAACAAAAGCCTTTCTCTTAATAACAACATGTAATAACCCCAAATGATAAATAGCACGGAGCCACGACTAAAAGCGAAATAAATCTTAGAAAATGGGGAGCTGGAACAAGAAAACCCACACCGCGAACAACCTTCGGCAACAATCACCGCCAGAATCCTCCAGCGACATTGTCAAGTGTCATGTGCGTGTTCGCTATCACCGAAGTGCCGCAGATGAAGATACAAAGATACGGAGATAGGCAGACACCCAGATACAAACACTACACACCAGCGGGTAAAAGCCGGGAAATAAATACACATACAGCATACAGTATACAGTATAGCAGTGCACACTTACAAATAATATATGTATGCCATACGAGCGGGGAGCATAGATTGGGCCACGGCGCTAATCTTATAATTAGCATTCCTGGCAGATAACAACAACAAGAACAGAGTCAGTGACAGGCGACTGCTGACTGCTGCTGACTGCTGACTTGGACTACAAATAACAAACAAGTTGCAATTACCGCAGCGGCAGTGGCAGCGGCAACGGCAGCAGCACTCGACTCTGTTAATCGCGTTGCATGATAACTGCACATTAATTAAAAAAATAAAGAAAGAGCGAGCGTGGGGGAAATTACAGATCCAGCTAATACATTTATGAAACGAAACAAAACCGAAAGAGTGCTAATTGAATTATTGCAACAAAGAGTTCGCTTCGTTTGTTGCCATTTCTGGTTGCACAATTAATTGCGCTACTGCTCCCACTCCGTCGATTACTTCTCCCTCCACCCCACATCCAAAAAAAAAACAACAAAAACCAAAGAAAATAAAACAAAATAAAACAAAACCCTTTCGAGCATATTGCTTACGCTTCCAGGAAGACCCACAAATGCCCAGACAAAGCCAGACTCCGTTCTAACGGTAAGCAGCTATAACAAAACCCCAAATAACCGAAAAAATACATTCAGCTGGGGGGCACAAGCACAGAAAAAAATGTAAATAATTCGAAAATTGAAAAGCTATATTGTGTTGCCAAAGAAAAAACAATTTTATTGTTGGTTTGAACAGAAAAGAGGTTTTTTGTCGACCTCAAATGGTCATTTTTGCTGTTGATAAATTGTTTATGTTTTTTAATACTATCACTATCAAGTTTTTTCTTTTAAATCAGAGTACTACTTTTTCATGGAAATAATTTTAAATTTACTGTATATTTTTTTTCAGTGCTCCGAACAAACCCAAGTTCAATTTCTTCTCGTTTTTTGGGCAATTCACAAACCGAAAATAAAACACAGCAGAGAACGAGAGACTGTCAAGCTCAGTTTTCAATTGCTTCTGGCCCTGTAATCCGAGAGCATGTCCCAGACTTTTTCACAAAAAAAGGGGGGGCCGGCGAGGAGGGCGGGGATATTAGGCCATGCTGCGGGCTTAGTCACTTCTGGGTAATGTCCTCCAGCCCATATTAGTTTTCAGATCCCGCTCCCAAACACACATCACACCACAGCAGACCCGTTCGCATTGTTGTGCTCTTGTTGATATGACGAGCACCAGTCGAAAGATACAGATACAAAACACACAGCTCAGCTCGAGTATCTGCAAGTGCACGCAACACTATGGTATAGTCGTCGGCCCCGTATCTCTGTATCCGTATCTGCAGCCCATGCAATGTCTAGGGCCAAAAGGCGGTTCGGACATTTCAACAGCATGTCGCTTCATTTAAGTTTTTTGCATCAATGCACTCGTGACAATTTGTCATAAAAAAAAAAAACAGAACAGAACAGAACAGAATGCCCAACCAGAAAACTGGCCAACTGGCCAGAGGAGAGGGCTAGATTGTGGGACTTGTTCCACGTTTCTTTGTAAGCTGCCCATCTGTTTGCCGAACGCCCAATTGAATTCTGTAAAAGCGAAAGCCAAACATGGGAAATTGAAAAAATACTTTTACATATTGCAGGAAACCTAAAGTTGCCGGTTGAACGAAAGCAAAAGTTAACTACTGGTTTTAAAAATAAATAGAGAAAAGCGAATATATTTTAGAACTATTAAAATATTAATGAGCCATATATTCCGATTTAATTAAACTGTTCTTAAACGCTTCTTATTTAAATAACAAAGAAAACCTGAGGTGTTGATGCCTTAAAATTAGGTTTCCATTGTTCTTAAAAACTGAACGAAAACAAAACGATATTTTTGTGCATTTTTATGTTTAAAATTCAAAATGCACATAAAAATCTATGATATTCCCCAAAAGTTTATAACCCTCATTAGTAGCAATCAGTGTTAGCATCTGGCACCTGAAATCCTCTCAAAAAAATCTCCAATACTCATATTTTGACCACATTAAGCAGGCTAATAAAAAGCTAATTGCATGAATATAAAACCCATCTTTGGGTTACTCATTTGGACCATATTGGGGGGTCAACAGCACCTCCTGCTGAGAAAATAACGAGTGGAGGCGGGGCACCTAAATGTCAGATTTGTGATCACTGAGACGCCAACTTATGCATATTTATATAATTCATTTTTAAATATTTAAAGTCACACAAAAGCACGGCGCACTCAAAACATATATTTAATATTCCGATTTTACGATGCATAAACGCGAGGGGGTAGTGAAGGTGGATTTTTATTACCAATAATTTTTAAATTTGTTGCCTCGCTGCTGCCGCTGCTTCTGCTTTATTTTATTTTTATTTTTGGATCTTTTTTTTTATTTTTTTTTTTTTTTTGCTTCTGCTCCGTTGGACGGGTGCAAGCAACTTGTTATAAATATAAACACAGACACTTATGAAGGCGCATATAGCCGTGCATACTCATATCCATCGGTATATATATAGACGGACGTGTGTGCAACTGAATTGATTGTAAAGCTGCCCGACCGAGCGACGCGATTATTTACGGTTTATTTTCAACACTTCAGAAATAAACGCAAGCGGTACGAAACCGGGAAAGTTTGTGGCGGCGGTGGGCGAAAAGGGGGAAAGCGCAACATGAACTTCTGTACCGCTCGCGCTCTCCCTCTCTCTTTCTCGCACAGGCCCTCATTGGAAACAAAAATGTTGCATACTAATTTTAATACGTAACACGCGGACGACTTTGAAGGCGGCCAAAAATATCAGCACGGGTGCAGAGAGAGAAAAAAATGAGTCATAAGGAGAAATCGATAATTGATCACTTGAATTTGATTTTCCTCACATAACGTAGAAAATTGTTGTTTTATTATAAAAGCAGATAGAGCAACTGTAATTATCAAATGGAGTGAAACTAATATCAAAAAAATTCAAAACATTATTCTTCCACATTTTTTTCTAGTGCACTTAGGGAATCGGGGAATATAGGCGGTTAGGGCTAAAAGTGTCAGGCGGGCTGTGGGGCTTTTTCATAAATTTTTTGGCAGGTGGAATGGACGACAAGTGCCTGGCGAAGCACGGTGGAAAATGGGGAGCGAGATGCAGTGACTGCATTCATATTTCAATATTTTCGGTTTCAACTTTTAAAAATAGCCACCAAGAACAGTGTGTGTGGAAAGACGGAGGCAGAAACAAAATACACAGAATGATATGGCCACCGATCTGGGGAGCAA